TTATTATACAACCAATCCGACTAGGTGACCTAACATTTGAATTACTAAACCATTAACCTCGTCTTTTTGTCGGTTTAATGTACAATCAAGTTCTAATAACTATTTTTAAAACCTTAATCATATTTTTCTAGGTGTTTGATTTTTTAAATTCTAAAAAATATTACATGACTTCTCATAGTTAGTCTTTATTAGTTATTAAAATTTATTAATTTGCATTAAATAAAAAATTAATTTAAATATTTGATATTTATCTTATATTTCCCCCAATATTATTTATTTTCAAAAATTCTAGAAAAAGTCTATCGTCCAAACTTTTAAGTTAGTAAGTATACTGTTTATAAAACATTTGGTAACTAAGTACATATTTTCAAATTTTCATATTTTAGTAGTATCTAAATGCCCTTATTTATTTTGTGCAATATGCAGTTGTTTCCTTTTTTTTTTTTTGATTATATTTTTATTAACTAAGTGGTTTCCTATTTTAATAGGCAATTAATTGTTTGAATTTTAAAAAGATTACAAAAATATATTTGGTAGTTAACGTTTTTGTTGTATATTGATTCGAATTGTAATCATTATTTTTCATATCTTCATTTTTCATATTCATCTTTTTCAAACAGCCACCTATACCCATTATCGATCTTCTTCAAGATGAGTCATCAATTTTCTGGTATTTGATGTCACACTATTTTTAAAATTATGTCACTTTTTGAAGTCATATTATTTTTTTAATTATGACAGACTATTTTTAAAATTATGTCACCCTTTGATGTCACATTATTTTTAAAAATATATAACTCTTTAATGTGTGAATTCACTATTTGATGTCATTCTATTTCTTAATTATATCACTCTTTTGTTTACGAACCCAAATTCATGAGATTTTTGAATTTTTTAGGGATTTAGGGGTTAATAAGGAAATTTTTTTTAAGAAAATCATAACATTTTAATATAAGAAAATAGTTACTCTTAAAATCTAAACAGTTGCCTTTTTTCATGGAAAGAAATTCGGTTGCCCATTTTTATGTAAGGATTGCATCATTTTAAAAATTTTCTTCTTAAATCTTGCATGAGCATTTTGTATGAAGGAGTTTGAATGAAACTCTATTGAAATAGAAACTCAGTTAATGAATGAATTTTGTTTTTTAATTCGGTTTAGCTAATACAGTAAATAGATAATAAAAAGTATTAGAGTCCTTTTAACCAAAATAATTTGACGAATGGATTTTTGACAAATAAGTTATTAAAAGTGTACCGGCCCACAAATATCCCTTATCTTTTTAGTAACTTATCACTTACAATGCAAGCTCTTACAGCAAACATAATGAATATCTGGAACTTCTGAGGACTGCAAACTTTACAGATCCATTCTCACTGAGAAGGCCAGTCTCCTTAAACATTTTAGCTATAAGTGAATCGTAAGCATCATTGTAAAGAATGAACTCTGAGACTCACATTTCAGAAATACTTTCTCACGGATTCATTCGATGGGAAAGCATTAGTGCATTGAATCTCCAACAAACGGGAGATTATGCTGATAGCAGGTTGCCTATATTCACAAAGAAGGATATTGAGAAGATATAGTTCCTCCAATAGCACTAAAAAATAAAAATACAAAATTTTAGGTCATAGGTCGCCTGTAATGTGTATATGTGGAGGCCCCAAATACAATACAAGGTCTCCAAGAGCTCTTTTTTTGTTATATTGCACCACCCTGCAAGCAAGGTAATTGTGATCTCTCACAAATCCCATTAAGTCCTTTAGATGTGACATGCTCCACTTGACCTGGTCTTCTCTTTCAAAAACCTCGTTCATGTTTTTTTTTTTTTTTTAATTTTTTGGGGGAGGGGGAGGGGGAGGGGAGAAGGGAACTTGAACTCTTGACCTCAAAAAGATAATTCTTTCACAAGGCAAGGAGTACCATTGGACCAAAGGGCCATTGGTACGTTCATGTATTTAGACCTCCAACTTATTTCAGCATCTGGTATCAAAAACACAGCAAGAAAGACAACTAAAAATATCATGAGGCTTCATTGGAAGTAAAATACCAGTGTCATTGATAAAAGTTTATATTATAACAAATTGAATTCAACTCTGGAGAAAGTAGTGCGATGAGACAGTAATTTTTAAGGCATAAGGCAAGCAGAAGCGCTAAGGGTCTCAGGTCTCCTGGGCCTAGGCAAGAGGAGATAATTGAGGCAAACATAGTAAATAACGAGCAAATATTTGTTTATTGGGCCAATATTTAATTACTAGTCACAACTAAGCATCCAGAAATTATGAAGCATTCAAGTTGAAACTTTTGAAATACCAAATGCTTAGATTTCACAAAAGCATAAACATTCAAATTCCATCAAATAGCATTAATATCTCAAGTTCTTAATATCTGAAAACATAAGTCAAACAATTGAAACAACTAAACTTCAATTCATGCTTCCACCTATCATAAGGACCTATGAATAATCCTCACCACCTAGCAAACCATCTTCATGATTATTTGATTTATATCCCTCCATATCTTACTCCTTTGCCTCATCTGAAATTGTCTCTTCCTCGTACCTATAGACGATGGTCTTGAAACCCCTAGTGTTGTCCTAGAAGTTGATGTTGATCTAGTTCTAGTTCGCTGGCTACTTTCTCCAGAAGGTCTGGCAACATCATCCCACGTCAAAGATTTTAGATCTTGTTCCACATTGATAGCATTGCACCTCCAAAACTAGTGTATGAGTCATGAGGACCTCTACACTCATTCTTAATTAGTTTTGAGTTAGCTACTTTAACATGGTCTCAGAGCTGTGCTAGGGGGAGGGCTTAATTTCTTCAATAATTAATTTCCCTTTTGATTGTACTATAGGTTCAGTTGTTTTTTTGATAGATGACAACAATTTTATTAATGTAAAAGAAAATTTTAGTACATAATGATAATTTGGACAAGTCGTCCATACACCAACCACATAACAGGGGCACTATAGATTGTAACAAGCAACATTAAAAAACAATTCATTCACATGCTGCATGCCATCTTGCCATGATACCAAATTGAGAAATTGGAGCAAAATCCTTCAAAACTAATGCCTAGAAAGATGCCAAGAAATAGATACAGTTCCATAAACCATCAACCCCCTCGTACTTATTTTCAAACACTCTTGCATTTCTCTCTAACCAAATCACCCAAATAATAGCAAAAATTGCACAATTCCAAAGGGTAACTCCTTTACTTCTCCTTCTAAAACCGTGATAGTCCACACAAAACATTGATGATATAGAACTTGGAGCTACCCAAAAAATCTCAGCCAACTCAAACAACTTGTTCCATAATTTCAATGCAGGAAATGCAAAAATAAATGGCTAGCATTCTCACAATCCATTTTGATATAGGTTCAGTTGTTAGGTCTGAATATTTGTCTTTTGATTTTTATGTTTATCTCACAACGTGCAAGTGGGCATTGCACGTGCGGGTGAGTATTAGAGCTCATCCCTTAAGAAAATGACACCTCAAAAAAAAAATGGCATTACTGGCCTTCCACCCATTATCAATTGGTTTTGAGTTAGATTATTTGAAAACATAATCATCGGCAAACAAAGAGTCATCATCTTCAATTGATAGCCTAAAGTATATCATGATGGAAAGGACAAAAACGAGAGTGCCTACGCACCTTGAGAATAATCCCCGAGGTGTGCGAGGCGTGCACCTCATCATAGTCACCTTGCCTAAGGCTCGTTGAGGGGCAAGGGGTGCGCCTAGAGTAGCCTTGAGCCTAGACACATGCTTAAATGTGATTTTTTTACAACATTGGTATGGCATGTGATCCAAATCAGCAGTGGAGGGGGCGATATTGAAGCTACATTTTCATTGCAATATGCTGAAGCAATTAGGAATAAACATGATTGGTAATGCAAATGATTCCAAATGATAAAGCAGCAAGTGCAAACCAAGAGAAATGGCCAAAATGAGCTGCTAAAAAATCAAGACGCATGGACATGAGGTGTACAAGGAGCCAAGGGCATGAACTTAATGAGAGGAGTACAATCCAATCTAAAAATCTTATGACCATGGAATTTTGCTCGTAAGAGTTCAAATTCATGACAATAACAACATTCCACCATTCCTGACTTGTAAAAAACACAAACTAGTCCATTTTATGTCCACCTAGGAATTGGAGGATCCTTGCAAAAAGTTTTACCAACTCTGAACTGTGTGCGTGTGGAGCCTCCTGCATTGTTCATGTCAAAAGGCTGCCAGAAGAAGTAAACAACTCTTATAATACATGGCTAGTTTTTCGGAAAGCTCCTTAACCAAAGATAGTAGCTATCAAGATGAAATCAAAGATCAATCACTGCATAGTTACAGACTGGCCAGATGGTTTAAGGTATTGAAGGAAGACTGAGGATTGACGTAAGACTAGACAGGACAAAAGTTGACTAATAAGAGAAGCTGCAATAGACTATCAATAAAAAAACACCCATGCATACATGAATCCCCAGGAACATTGGTATCAAAAACAAAATTTGTAGCCAAGTTTAAGCATTTTTATTAGAAGTAGCAATTTCAACCTATAAAAAGGGTAAAAAAAAAAAGTCATTTCCAAGTCACTGATTTCTCACGAAGACATTCAAACAACCAAAACAAAAATCATGCTTCACCAAATGCAATAATGTGAATGTCTCCAATGCTGACTGAAATCATCCATAGAAAGTGATGGAAAACGCATTGGATGCTCTAGCAGAAACACATGTCAAGAATAGCACTTCAACTTTCATTTTGTTTTAAATCAAATACCAGTCCCAAGTACAGAGAAAAATAAAATTACCCAAAGATAGGCAGCTACCAAAAGGAAGCTTCAGAAACCCAAACATAATATCGCCCCTAAAGAGAACTTTTGACGCTTGTATCCTGTGTTTGAATTAAAATGAAGCACCACATTAACCAATCATTTACAACATAATTGAGGGAGGCATAATGTGTTTAAATTAAAATCAACACATTAAGAAGACATCCACCAAAAGTTTAGGACAAACATACGGAATTTGCAAGCAAAATGTTCAAAAATAAAAAACCAAATCATAAAGAAAGACAAGATCTATGACCTCATGATATTTCAGCATCATAGTATGCACTAGAAACCACTCCTATATCCATTTCAGAGCTGTCTGAAAATAAATCATCCTCAAAACCTCTAACGGTTTCTTTTTTCTCAGGTTTCACATGAACATTGTCATTGTCAGAATCACTATCGAACAACTCTTTGTCCTCCATGTCCAACTCTTTGTCATCTATGTCCAAATCTTTGTCATCCATGTCCAAATCTTTGTCATCCATGTCAGCTATGTCCTCAAATGTCTCAATTTTCTTCTTTTTTCCTCTATATCCAATGAGGCGCTGAACCTTTTCTTTCCAAAGTACCAATGGGCATTTCTCAACCAAGTCCAAACCTTCATAAGCCTCATTCAAGAACACACTAAACCTCTTCCCCCTCTCTGAAACATAAAAAATCCCAAAATGCTTCAATAACAGTCTCATCAACTTCTGGGGCATCACAAACTCCCTTCGAAAATGTGTCAAATGATCAGTCACCAACCTCTTCTCAAGAGTAAAACTCAACAGCTCGTGCATTACAGCCACAGCCCTTTTATCAAATTCCTTAGACCCGGCCTTTAGCCCCCTAGCATCCGCATATGGAGATAAATACTCCATCTTCTGAAAATGGTCAATCTGTCCACCATATCTATACACTTTCTTATAATTCGACGGAAACTTCATTGGAAAAGCCAAGTAAAGCAACCCCGGCACATGATCAGTTAAATCTGACGCACCCAAAACTTTCTTTTCTATTTCTGTTACCGCCCAAGAAGGATTCCAAGAAACCAACTCCAGAAACTGACTCTCGTCATCTGGTTGAAATGGTTGAACTACTTTAAATAATTCCGGATATTTATACACCCATTTGTCTCTAAAATCAAATGGCAATCCCATATCCCTCCGAAAATGCGCAATCTTGTCTAATCTTAGTCTCTTATCAAGAGACATCATTAACATTTTTGTTACATACTCTGCAGCTTTGTCTTGGTGAGCTTCAATGATTTTCTCTTCTTCTTTAACTAACTCTTCGCCTATCCTCGTCATTCCACACCACAATACACCCTTTTGGTCCTTGTAAAGTTCGAAAAGTTTAGGGGATTTTCGGAGGAAGTCTGAGATTTTGTGGGGTTTTGGTAGATTGATTTGGCGTCGATATTGGTCGAGTGACTTCATGGGTATGATTTGTTCGGGTTCTTGCTTGAGAATTTCGAACAAGAATAAGATTTTTGAGGTGATCTTGTGCTTTTCGGTCACGATTTCGAGATCGTGGACTCTCTTTTTTTGGCTCCTGTCTTGGACTCGTTTACTGGTTGTCATTGAGCGATGTTGTATGTGGATGTGGACAGTGTGTGTGCAGTTAGTCCTGGAGACTATTCGGTTGGCCATCACTTTAAACAACTGACTTGTGAGAGAGAGTTATTGATGAAAACAGTGTTATAAGAATTCATCGTCTTGAACCATCACCTGTTTGAGGAAACGCCTGAACGAAAAAAGACAATGGCTGAGAGCTATGCTTTTCTCAATGTGGCCGACTGATGGTAAAACTCCAAGTGTCATGACATTTGTTTTAAGTTACCCATAAATTTTTAATTATATCAAGACATAAAATATGCAAAAGTAATTAATACAATAATTGACTTAAATTCGGACCCAATTTTAAAATGATTCAAAACATCATAATCGACTAATAAGTAATAACTTACAATAAGTGAACTTAACTGGAGTGAAATTCTCTCCAATTTATTTAAATTTTTTTAACAAATTATTTACTATACATTCAAGTTACACTTATTACATACAATAAATTCTTTAACGATAATTTATTAAAAAAAAAAAGTATTAGCGAATATGTATAACCTTTTAACCCGGGCTAATGTAACCCTTAGCCACCACCTTTTAGCTCATAACCACTAAAATTAGGGAAACAACTCTCCCAAAACTGTTTCTAGGTTGTTAGACTTTTGCTTGTGTCTGGGTGTCACGCCCTAACTGATTTGGGTGCATAATGACGGTCTTGGTGGCATCTTACACCAAAGCACGCCATGAGATTGAATTAAGGAGATGCGGCTATGCGGTTCGACAGATTGGTGCGGACTGTGACAACATGAGACCACTCGGCTGAGCATGGCAGCATGTGGTGGGCTCAATTGAGACAATGTAGATGTATAGCTTCGAATTGCATAGCATGGACTGAACCCAGCATGCACAATGGTTCGTGAGGCAAGGCTGGTTACTAAATTTGGACACATGACTGCTCAATGCATATGACTAGGAGGATGCAGACATTTGCTGAACAAGGCTTAGTCTGTAGGAAGCAGTTCTGGGCGTTTCTAGACAGATTCTAGTCCAGATGCATGCTAATGAGGGGCAGTTTCACATCAGTTACTACATAGGTGAAACTGTCTGTCAGGTGTTGCACGGAGATCAAGCCTACTGGCCAAGTCTGCTATAGAATAGAAGAATGTGGGTAACTACCCTTTGGCAGATGAGGGTGTCATCTGTCATGATCTTGTATAAATAAGAGTGCTTGGGCATTCTGATAGTCAGAGAAAGTGGTCTGACTTTGAGAGTTCCTTGTAAATTGTTGAGTTCAATATATAAGGATTTGAGGTGTTGTCCCAGTAAATTCGTGTGTCCCTTCTGTGTGAGTTTCTGTCCCTTGTTCTTGAGATTGAGTGGCTGGTTGCAGTAGCAACGCCTTCACAGGTAGCCTCAAAAAATGAGTTGTTACGCCGTGACAGTTTGGTATCAGAGCATTGGTTTTGGCAAAAAGATCAACTATGGCTGGCGAAACGAATGTAGATCTGAGGGAAAGGGTGGCACGTTTGGAGGAGTTGGTTGGTCCTCCATAATCCGATGAGCCTGTGGCCCTTTCTGTGCAACTTGAGTTGCTGTATCAGAGGTTTGAGGAGATGCGTGTTGCACAAGAACAACTTCAAAAGCCTGAATCTGATCACTTCAGTCGAGTGAAAAATGAAGTTGTTAACGTGTTGACTATGATTTCCACATGGACCGATGATATGGGAAAAAAATTGAGTTCCCTAGAGACGGACGTTTCAGTGCTTAAGAAGGCACTACAAAATGCTTCTTTGGCTTCTGACAGTGAAAGCACTCAGAAAGGCCAAGGTACCTGACCCTAAGCCTTTCACAGGCAGTCGTGACACTAAAGAGCTCGAGAATTTCTATGGGATATGGGTCACTACTTTAAAATAGTCCGTACACTGGATGCTGAAAAGATAGATTTCACTAGCATGTACCTGTCTAGTGATGCTAAATTATGGTGGCGAACACGATTTGAGGACAAGTCTCGTCCTCCAATTACGACTTAGGAATCTCTGTCCGCTGAAATGGAGCAACAATTCCTTCCGAGCAACACAACTTGGCAAGCCCGTGATGCATTGAGGAAACTTTGACATACGAGTATCGTGAGGGAGTACGTAAATCAATTCTCATATCTGATGCTAGATATCAAAAATATGTCGGAGGAAGATAAGATGTTTAATTTCATGTTTGGCCTTCAAACTTGGGCGCAACCTGAACTTCGTTGACAAGGGGTGAAGGACTTACCCACTGCTATGTCCGCAACAGATGTGTTGGTTGACTACAAGACGCAAGCAAATCCTCTGGAGAAGGAATCAAAAGGGAAAGCCAAGTTCCCTAAGAAGGACAAGCAGAAGAAAAGAGCTGAGAAGTTTGGTAGTGCAGAAAAATAGACTGACAAGCCCTCTTCATCAAAGGGAGGTCCTGACTCAGGCTGTTTTATTTGTAATGGCCCTCATCATGCCAGAAATTGCCCTAAGAAGGAAAGCTCAGTGCCCTCATAGCTGAGAAAACTGACTGTTCTGACCAACTAACACAAGTCAACCCATTACAACTTCTTAATGCAATTCGAAAAAAGGAGACGGTGGCAAAGAGGGGGTTGATGTTTGGGCAGATTTGCCTGAACAATGTGGCTGTTCAGGCAATGATTGATACAGGTGCAACCCACAATTTTGTTTCTGACCGTGAAATATAGCGGCTTGGTCTAGCTTTGATGAGAGACTCTAGTCAGATTAAGGCCATTAATTTAGAGGCAAAATCAGTAGGTGGTGTTGCTAGAGAAGTCCCTTTAAAAGTAAGTGAATGGCAAGGGCCATGCGATTTTATGGTAGTCCCTCTTGATGATTTTCAGGTAATCCTTAGACTGAAATTTCTTACGAAGGCAAAGGTGTCTATTATGCCTTATTTGTAAGGGATGTTCGTGATGGACATGCCTAGCCCCTGTTTTGTTCCTCAAGTCTTCGGGAGAAATGTTGTCTGCCTTGCAAGTAAAAGATGGCTTGCAAAGAGGAGAAACAACATACTTGGTTGTTCTGTTTGAGGAAGAGGAGTCCAAAACAGTGCAAAAGTCCCTGAACCAGTGCAATAGTTGTTGACTGAATTCAAGGACGTGGCACCCAAAGAATTGTCAGCAAGATTATCACCAAGACGAGAGGTTGATCATGTCATCGAGTTGATTCTAGGGACAAAAATCCCTGCCCAGGCTCCTTATCGAATGTCTCCATCAAAGTTAGCGGAGCTAAAGAGACAGCTTGGGGGTCTGTTGGACATTGGGTTCATTAGACCTTCTAAGCCCCCCTATGGAGTCCCTGTTCTGTTTTAGAAAAAGAAGGATGGATCTTTACGACTTTGTGTTGATTACAGAGCTCTCAACAAAGTTACTATCAAAAATAACTATGTAGTGCTGCTTGTTGACGAATTGTCTGATAGACTGGGGAAGGCAATTTTTTTCACCAAGATGGACTTACGGTTGAGATATCATCAAGTTAGAATTGAAGAAGGAGATGAGGCAAAGATCACTTGTGTGACAAGGTACGGTTCATATGAGTTTTTAGTCATACCTTTCAGCTTAACAAATGCCCCTGCTACATTCTGTAACTTGATGACCAATGTATTCCGGGAATACTTGGACAAATTTATGGTTATTTATCTGGATGATATAGTTGTTTATAACCAGACTCTTGAGGAGCATGTTGAGCACCTTAGGTTGGCTTTGACAAAGTTGAGGGAAACACAACTGTATTTGAAACCGAAAAAATATGAGTTTGTCCAAAAAGAAATCTCATTCCTCGGGCATATTATTTCTGCGGGTGTGGTGAAGATGGACCCAAAGAAAGTTGAGGTCATTGCTGATTGTCCTTACTAAGGTTACAGAATTACGATCTTTCCTTGGTTTGACAAATTATTATCGAAAGTTCGTGAAGAATTATTCAAAGAAGGTGACTGTCTTGACAGATCTTCTGAGGAAGGATAGGACATGGAACTGGTCCTACGAATGCCAGGAGGCATTCGATCGATTGAAGGCGGTGGTGATGACTAGCCTAATTTTACGATTGCTTGACTTTGATTTGCCTTTTGAAGTCCATACAGACGCATCAGACTTTGCTCTTGGAGGGATACTGGTGCAGAATGGACATCCGGTGGCATTTGAAAGCAGAAAGCTGAATGATACCAAGAGGCGGTATTCTGTGCACGAAAAGGAGATGACGGTAGTCATTTACTGCATTAATGTGTGGAGGCATTACCTGTTGGGAAAGCATTTCCTAATGCTTACAGACAATGTGGCTACCAGCTGCTTCAATTCTATGAAGAAGCTGACACCAAAACAAGCAAGATGGTAGGATTTTCTTACTCAGTTCCATTTCACGTTGTAGTACAAGCCTAGCAGTGCAAATCAGGTTGCTGATGCCCTTAGTCGGATCCTAGTTGCTATAAAACCCGAAAAAAAAATTTATTATTATTAAAAATCCTAATTAAAGGGGTAAAATAATAATTATTTGTTAAAGTATGGGTCAAAAAGGTAAATTTTTAAAATAATGAATTTATTTTATAGATATATAAAACTGAAAGACTTTAAAAAGTCTTTCATTTTCTTCTCCAACCGACGAGACAGAGAGAGTGAGAGAAAAAGTGAGTTTTTTTTCTTTTCTTCCTTCTCAGATCTACGAAAATTTAACCGTTTAATAGTTTCAGGCCAAGAATTAAAGTTGCTCTACTCAACGAGAGCTACGCAACCACACCAAATATCGTATTTTTCTCCAAAAAAAATATCAAAACCGATAATCTAGGCCTAAAACTTAGGAAGCTAAATTTGGGCTTCCTTGGCGTTTTAGTAAGTGGTCTCACGCTACGAGAGGTAGGGGTTCCCCTATTTAGATTTAATTTCAACTTAAAATATGACATATAGAATGGATAGGCTATGAATGTATACCACATGTTAGGTCTTGACTAGTGTGACTAGTGGGTCAAATATAAGAATTTTAATTAATCTTGTGATTAATAAAATCCTATTGTGATTAACTTGGTGTAAGTTAATGTTAGTGGTTTAAAACATGTTAATTGTATATTAGCATTACTTTATATTTTAATGGCAGATCAAGTTTAATAAAATTATTAACTTGTTAAGTGATTATGAAATAATATGTATGTTAAATGATTATTTGACATATGATTATTTTGGTGGACTTGTGCT